TGCTTAAAGAATAAATGTACTCTGATCTATTACTTAAACATGAACTGAATGATGTGTGTTTTAAAGTGTGAGTGTGTTTTCTGTGGTTTTGTCAGAACTGAATTAATCCATGTATGGGGATGTGGAAATCAAGGGTTTTCTCTAAACACAGAAGATGGGAAGTAAAGTGAAATTGTGAGAAGTGTGTAGACTTCACACTTCTTGATACTATGATGGGTTTTTTTTTTCATTCAAAGGCAGCAAGTGTAACAAAGAAGAAGTCATGATGCATTACAGATAACAGTCTCACTGGATGCTCACAGTGTGCAAACCATGCTGCACAAACTCTTTATATGTCAACACTTCTGTGCTTTGCTTTCTTCTGTACAGTTTGTTCTTATTTTGTTAATACATATTTTTTTTTTTTTTTTTTTTTTTTTTTGAGACCTGTGTCTCTGTTTCTCTCTGTTTCAATCTAACTTGTACCGGTGACACATGCAGTGGCAGAAGACAAAGGAAGGGGAAGTCTGCATCTTATCACATTAATGATTCACACACTGCCAGGAACCACCTCAAACACACACACCGAGAGCTTAAGACCCCTGTAGAACCGAATCTACTAACAACAGAGAAGACCATTGAATAAGAGAGAAGAATGAAGATCATCTGGACTTTCACTCTGCTGATGATTCCTGGTAAGAATTTTACTTATTTTTTAAAGCAATTTTTGAATGTTCCTCTCATTTAAGCCTCATAATTAATGTACTAAAGCATTTTATTAAAATGCTGGTTTGTTTTTGTAGGTGCCATGACGTCCATGAGTGTGACTGGACATGCAGGGAGTGAAATCAACATCACATGCACATATCAAGAAAAATATACAGCAAATGCAAAGTATTTTTGTAGAGGACAGTGGTCAGACTGCACATACCGAATCAGGATCGATATTAAAAACAAATGGTTTGATGCTGGAAGATTCTCTCTGTTTCACAAAACAACATCAGCAGTTTTCACTGTGACCATCAGAGATCTGAGTGCACAGGATTCTGGGACGTACTATTGTGCAGCTGATATCCGTATGAGTAAAGATTCCTACACTGAAGTGAAGCTGAAAATTATATCAGGTGAGTAACCCAGATGCATTCTGAACATGACTATCACTAATACTGTTATTTATGGCAGTTTGGTGCATAAATGACAAAATTTAGCAAAAAATATTTTTCCTTTTAAATTAAAGGGATAGTTCACCCAAAAATGAAAATGTGATGTTTATCTACTTACCCCCAGGGCATCCAAGATGCAGGTGACTTTGTTTCTTCAGTAGAACACAAACGAAGAATTTTAACTCAAATTGTTGCAGTCTGTCAGTCATATAATGGAAGTGAATGGAAATCACAGCTTTGACAAGCAAATAAAGGAGCGTTTCATCAAAGTGTGTCATGTTAAATCAACAACTGGCGAAGACTTAAAGGGATAGTTCACCCAAAAATGTAAATTTGATGTTTATCTGCTTACCCCCAGGGCATCCAAGATGCAGGTGACTTTGTTTCTTCAGTAGAACACAAACGAAGAATTTTAACTCAAATTGTTGCAGTCTGTCAGTCATATAATGGAAGTGAATGGAAATCACAGCTTTGAGAGTCAAAAAAAAACATACACAAACAAAACCAAATTAAATTGATGTGTAAGGACATGAAACGATGGATCTGTGCAAGAAACTGAACAGTATTTATATTGTTTTTTACCTCTGATTCACCGCAATGTCTGAACTGTCCTTTTTATTTAAAAAAAACAACAAAAAACAAACAACCACTAGCTTTCTATTTTTTCTATTCTATCTTCTTGTTTTTCTTTGTGTGTGTGTGTGTGAGGTGTGTATATATATATATATATATATATTATACACACACACACACAAAGAAAAACAAGTAGATAGAATATAAAAAATAGAAAGCCAGTGTTTTTTTTGTTTGTTTGTTTTTTTTTTATAAAAAAAGAAGATAAATATAGATGAAGTAGAAGTAAAATAGAAGACTCAGCTGCTCGGATTGAGTTGGGCAGGTCATTCCACCAGGAGGGAACAGTTAATGAAAAAGTCAGTGAAAGTAATTTTGTGCCTCTTTGAGATGGCACAATAATATGCCGTTTACTTGCAGAACGCAAGCTTCTAGAGGGTACATAAATCTGAAATAATGAATTTAGGTAAATGGGTGCAGAGCCAGTGGTGGTTTTGTAGGCAAACATTAATGCCTTGAATTTAATGCGAGCAGCTACTGGTAGCCAGTGCAAATTGATGAACAGAGGTGTGACATGCGAGGCTGAGACTTGGTTGAACACAACTTGTTCAAGTGTTTTTGCAATGAAAGGTAGAAGGGAAACCGGTCTGTAGTTCTCTAAAAGAGTTGGGTTAAGAGTGGGTTTCTTAAGAAGTGGGGTTATACGAGCCTGTTTAAATGTTGAAGGAAAAACACCAGTGTGAAGGGATGTGTTAATGATGTGAGTGAGTGCAGGTACAATGGCAGGAGAAATGGCTTGAAGAAGATGAGATGGAAAGGATCAAGTGGACAAGTAGTAGGATGACTGGAAAAGATGCGTTGACTTCTGCCTCAGAGAGTGGAGAGAAGGATGAAAATTAGTGTATGTTTGCAGGAAAGATGTGTTTGACAGTTTGTGCTGTGGCAAATTGTGCACTGAGGTTTGTAATTTTATTAATGAAGAATGTGGCAAAGTCGTCAGCTGTTAGAGTTGATGA